TAAAATATGAAGCCCCAAAAGAATAGGTAATCAAACTTACGTATACATCGACTCTTCGGGTAATATGTAGCTGCAAGGCCATAATTTGAGTTCAGACGTCATATCGACGAGTGACGACGATCGGCTTTTGCCATAGATGATGGATATTATAATATAATAATATGTTGTTATCAGTTTTCGCGTTTTTGAATTCTTTGGATGACACGATACATTTTTTATTTCAGATTACGAAACATTATATTATTCGAAGTGTTTAAATCTATACAATTCAGAACACGGAACTCTGCGTACAGGCCATTTAGATACACTACTGTCGCGAGTCCATTGTTTGTCCGGCATCTCACAGTATTGTTTTTAGTCTTAATGGTTAAACTATAACTTCATATAAAACTGTAGAAGTGTCGAGACATGAAAAGAATTCAAAATTAGTCTTATAAATTTACAGAAGTAATAAAAAAATGGATACTTTAATAGTGAATATAATATTCTCCCTGGACTCGGCATTAATATGGTATCAAACAATATTATTCTATAATAGTGTGCAGTATTTCCTAGAAAATTGTGTGATTATATTATACTACTACACTTTAGTGTAATAAATAATGTAATATATACAGCCGTGTAGGTACCTAACTAAGGCTCTAACATAAAGGTAAGTGACGGGGGAAAAAACCTTATGACCAAGATCGGGACTTTTAGCATTTGCATACTTTTTTTATTTATTGTAAAATGTAGCAGAGTGTGAAATAAATTCATACCAAATCTAAAATTTGAATGTGCATATTTTGCATAGTTCATACATTTTCCCGGAAACCGCTTATTTTTTCGTTATTGTGCTTAATTTGCATATTTTAGAAAAATTTTCAAAATTTCACCTTCACAAATTTCACTCCATCTAAAAAAGAAAATAGTAATGCAGCTTATTGGCAGTCTTATGTACCTATTTACTATATACAACTTACAACTCCTTATAATTTTCGTAAAAACCACTGTGTTTCAACTGTGCAACGTCGAAAACTATACAATGTCCAACATTAATTTTAAAATCATAATTCAGCAATCTCAATGATATGGAGTTTAGTTTGAAAGAATACTTTGAAGTAAACAAAATAATTGCACAGAACTAAAACGTTTGGGATTTTTAAATGTAACGAGAATTCTAATAAATCATGTATTTATTGAAACAGATTAAATTACTGAATGTCAAGAGTACTCACTACTCATTTTCTGACTTGCAGTGTAGTCTGGCAATTGACAATAACAGGTATTGTATACAATTATTTCAAAATAATATATTATTTAATTAATTGTTTTAAAAATTTTTTAGATATATATTATCCGGAGCAGTTTTTTATGGACATGATCATTATATAGCGTATGTAAGCCGTGTGAATAGATGGGAAGTGCACAAAGATTTGGCAAAAAAAAATTAAAAGTACCCCTAGTTCAACAAAAATAAAGCCACATGTAATTTTATATGTGAAAGAGAAAAAAAAAGACATGTATATTGGTACAAATGTCAACTATAGGAATAAGAGATGTCTTTTTTTTTAATTAAAAAAAAAGACAAAAAGGTTATTATTATTTGTTTTTTATTAATTGTTTATGTCATTAACTACGTGGTTATTAGCCAGGAGTTTTTGGGACTGTTGGGTTACTGTACGGTTATGGAGCACGTGTGTGCAAAAAGGTTATATTTTATAATTTTAAATTTTATATTAAGCGTTTGTTACAAGATAAATAAAAGTAATAAGATATAAGAATCAATAATTAATTAAACCAATTTTATTTTTTTCAATTTTCCTTTAACCAATAATTCTATTATAGTGACATGACCCCAGGATCCAGCACCAAAATGAGAAAAAGTCCGCAAAGGATTGAAACAGTCTGGTGACGAAAAAAATTTTTGATGTATCGACCTGACGTTTTATAATGAATGACGAGAACCATGAACCACGATTTCTAACTTTAATAATTAAAAATTAATAAAGTAAATTTAAAATGAATACAATTTGAAGATCTGAAAAACATAATCTATTTATTAGCAAAACAAAATAAAAATTGTTATTAATTAATGTGAGCTCTTATTTGATGGCCATGAGCTTATAATATTCAATAACAAATGTTATGTTCCTACAAATATTGGGTAAAAAGAATTAATAAATACATTTAAACAAATTATTAATTTATATTTATTGTAATATTACCATGTATTAAGACTATAAGGGTAAGAAACAATTATTCTATATTAAACTTATATTAAATAGTAGCCCGATATGTTCTGTAAAATACTTCTGGAGGTAGTATATTTCAATTGTGTATTACATAGTATAATTTTAAATTATACTATAAACTATGCCTACGTATAAACACCAATGATTGGTATGATTTTTGGACTCGAAATTATAAATAAGTTAGCGGCTATTTTGCAAAATGTTAGCAGCATATTTCAATTCGTAGCTCAAAAGGGGGTGTAGCGTGAAGTTGCCCCCCATCTTATATATTTTATACCGTGTGGGTAATTTATTTGAAAATTCTGAAAATCAATTTGAAAATATTTGCAAATTATTTGCAAAATAATAACACAAATTTCAAAAAAATTGGTCATGGTGGGGCGGCCAAATTCACGCACATGGGAGGCCATACTACAGCATAGGTCTTCCTTGGTTGAGACGACAACTATATTTGTCTAACGCCCAAACGTACGGGACACCTACTCAGAGGATTCCGTGTGCATCAATTTGAACGTTTAAGCCATTTGTATTCAGCAGCGAATACTGCATTAAACATTGTTTAACCGATGAAATCCGTAGGATCTGGCCATTATTATTATTATTGCATATAGTTAACAAAATAGATGTAAATATCGTGCTATTGAATGCGAATACATAGCATTTTCTATTGTTATAAAAAACTAAAATATTTGTATTGCTTAGATACACTATGGATTATGCATAACAATATTATATGGTCCTGCATCAAATAAATAGTTAATTTATTTAACATATATTTATGTGTAACCATACAATTAAGATATCGTTACATGAATATATTAGCAATATACAATTTAACGTTACTCATTCAATTTAGAGTGTATTAAGTATGAAATACAATATTATATCACAATATTGATCATTACTGGTCATTTTAAAATATTGCTTTTTATTTATTATTATGTATTTTTGAGTAAATGTATTTAAATCTAACCGCAGATTTGTGTTTAACTTGTTATACTCGTATGTATATTATAATAGACAGTTTATGTGAAAACAAATTTTTATAGTTACTACACTAGTTGGGTCCTGAATTATTTTAGCGACAACACTATTTCTTGATTATTTTATAATATATATTATATACATTAAAATATATTATATAATATAAATATAGCCATATAGGTGTAAGTAAAAAAATATTAAAAAGGGAAGGAAAATGTTAGTATAGTGTAGTGCTCACCAAAAAATATTCAAGAACTAGCGTAGTAGCTAAAATAATTCAGGTCCCAACTAGTGTAGTACCTATAAAAATCCGGGACCCAACTAGTGTAGTACCTGCGATTAGCCCCTAGTACTCGGGACCCAACTCGGATGCGCCGATATATATATACAGTTCTATTCTGTGATATAACCTTGCTTTAGAGTTTAGAATATTATAGCAGGGGTATGACACTAAGTGAATTGAGTTTAATTTAAATCGAGCGATTGCGGCTGATTGATGGGTCTAACACAATGCTGGTGTAAGGGCTCGTTGCTTAGGTTCTGACTTCAGATCATAGGTAAACAAGAACCCGATCAGATGATCGAGTGCTGCTTCTATATTGTTCTATGATTATGGGTATGTGTGTAAGAGTTGGGCAACATAAAAATAAATCATCAGTAACTCGGCCACAACAAAATTTTAACTAAAATAATATTTATAATGTATGAACCTTGCGTCTAAAATTTTACTTGACATAATATTTTAAAATATCTATACAAACTAAATCTAACCAAAATGTTGGTATGTACCAGTATTTATAGTTGATTTAGTTTAAACTGTTTTGTTTATTTGACAAAGATTAACCGGTTTATAGTTACATGGATCTTATTAACTAAATTGGTCTAAGGTTTTTTGTTCTGGGTTACTACAATACAAAAAAATTGATTTTGTAAAACACTGGGTTTTGCTGAATAATTTCCCTTTTTTCTTTCAATTTATTTTTCATTTTTCCTGACGCTTTTAAAATTACTGTCAGTAGTATTATGTCATAGTTTATATCGTAATATCTATTGATTTTGAGGTAGTGATTGTCGTGGTAGCAAACTACGTTTCGCCTGATCTTCACAGCAATAATTATTATAATAATAATACCTGTCTGGCTGTTTGCAGGACCGGCTGCCGAGTGAACGTGGACAGCATCTAGTCCAGGGTTTCCCGTGGATGGTACCACCCCCTAAGAGGCATTTTGGTCGTCCGGGGGAGAGGGGGAGTAGGTTTGAAGGGGTGTTGGAGGTGCTCTCAAACATGGAATAATGTAAAAAATAAAAAAACACCAGTGTCAACTGACACGTTATCATTATATTATTAAATATTAAGAGTTTATTTTAATTTAAATACTGGTCCATGAACGAATGAGACATTTTTTAATTGGTTGGAAGGGGGGTGTAAGCCATCAGTTATCTTGGAGAAGGGGCACTGAACCAAAAAAGATTAAGAACCACTGGACTCTATAGAGTATAGACTATAGTCCATTGAATAATACTTTCAGTACCCCTAAGCACTACATTTAAAAATTTTAATTTAAAGGTTATTTAAAACCACATTTAGGTATATTTTAATGAATACCTTATAGATTTACATACTCGGCGAATCATAAACGAGACAAAAGAATATAGAATGACGTTTGTAAGTAAAAATTATATTATGATTTTCACAGATAAATCAGTTGAAAATTGCTGCAGCAGTACATTATTATTTAAACAAAGTACATAATGGCGTTAGAAATATATTTTTTTTTAAAGAAAATAATACATTTTGTAGGTAATATTAATATTATAATCTCGTATCACAAAAACGTCAGTAAAAAAAAAAATATTCACAATAAAACACACAATATGCTATGTATAAAAGTACAATATTAAATTTAAACAGTAGTAAATAATAATTTAAAAAAATGTATAATAATATGATCCGAACATAATATATTTGCTCACATACTATTGTATAGGTACCTAGTTTATTGGCAAAACATTATTCGAAATACATTCATTAATTATATTAAGTAGACAATTTTTTTGGCCTAGTTATAATATTAATTGTTAATCATATACTTATCTTATAAGTATAATAATGTATATCTAAACTTATGAACAATATAAAATATTTACATGTTATTCGTTCAGCATGTTTATCTGAGTGTTCGAGAGGCAGAAGACATTTTGAAACCAAAATTACTTTGTGTGTGTGCTAAGCATTCTTAAACTTGAAGTTTTTCAAAATTATTTATCGACTCTAAATATTTTTGTGACTCGTGCACACAATACAGTTGAGTCGATTAAATATTGACTTCTGCCTGTTAAACTACTCAGATAATTCAACGTCACAATAATAATAATAATAATAATAATAATTAATGTCATTTCATCTGTGAAAGCATATGAGCACGTCTTGATCGGGCTTGGTTAAAACGAAATATTATATAATTGGGTGGATCATTTCGTAGATTCGTACCTAATTCTTAGATATTACGAGTGAATGGCAGCGATGTGGTGTGTATTGTATACGGCATAAAAAACATTTTAGAAAAAAAATTCGGAATTAATTGTGTCTGGACGGTTAGATTTTTCCATATAAAAAAAGAGTATAAAAGTTAAATAAAAATGTAATTTTTTGTAGCAATGTGGTGTGTATCGCTTACTATTATGCCTACAATTATATTAAAATTTATATTACCTATGTATATACGTAGTTATGTTTTCTAAATTTTTAATCGTATCATTAAATTAAATTTAATTCAGTTGTGTAAAATCGCTTGGAAAAAAAATTGATGTAAACAATTATTGTTCTTTATAAAAATGTCTTACTACAATAAATAACTAACCTATTTTTTTTTTAAATAAACTAAAAGTAATAAATATAAAATACTCATTAGAACCAGTCTCCAATGTTTTCACGATGGCATACCATGTTTGTCTTTTGTTTTTTTCGTCGTAATAATGATGGTATTTATGTTTTGAGCAACTTAATGCCGCGAAAGTGGACATTTCGCGCAATGTGGTTAATAATGAGAAAAAAAAAGTAAAAAAAGGTAATATAAAAAAATTGACGATCATCTACTTTTGGTTCTCGTTGCTCGTATTGTCGTTAACTGTGGTATTTGGCACTTTGTCGTTGAACGTTTTTTTTCTTATTATTCACCTCCTTTTTTGTTCGATCGCTTCGGCCATCATTTTTCTGAGCATAGGTTCTGGACTGCAAGGCTTAGGATCGCATTTCATCTTGCCATCTGCACCGCATCTGCAATACCGAAAACAAGAGTTATAGTACAGTCATATGAAGGAGTAGGTTGTAGTAGATCTTGTTTTAGTTTTAAGTTTTCTTGACATTTACAATAAACTATAGTATTTTAACCATTCATATTTTTTCATGACATCATAGATCCAAGTACGAAGGGCGTGTGCAGAAATATAAGACGGGGAAGAGAAAAGAACAAAGTCAAAAATCTGATAATATAGCACATACTACTTTATTTACAAGTGATAAAACGTTTAGTATTAATTAAAATATCAATGGCCTCCCCGGCACCCCTCTGTTTTTATCTGTTTTATACTTTTTTTTTGTTCATATTTTTAAAGCCAATGGCTTAATTTTTGAAACTTTCAAAAGCAAAGACACGTTGATAGTTAATAACTATTTGTATAGTACGAATAGAAATAAGATTTTATATTTTTAAACATTTATTTAGACCTGTCTGCCAACAGTAATGTAGGTATTATCCAGAGCATATCAGTATTATATTATTTAGAAAAAAACTACAATAATCATTAGCACACGCCGAGACGACGAAAACGAAAATGTTTGACTTGTTCGTATTTAGATATAGGTACTTACATGCATTCGAGGCAAGGACCAGAAGCGATTCCCACGTCTTCACCCACTCGGTAAGCGTGTCCATGGATAAGACATCCGGTACGCCTGGCCGCCCCTCGGTAGGCGTTGGCGAAGAAATGTGGTGGCACTACGGTCGTGGTTGAAGTGGTAGACGTGGTCACGTTGACGGACGTGGCCTGGGCCACCGGACACTCGTAACGTGGACAACAGAAACCTTGTATGTTCTCCTGGTAACACCCGAATATAGGCGGCGGGCAGCTCTGTTGCAGGCAAATTATGTCACCTCGGAAACAGAAACAGAAATCGCAAGGGTCGTCCCTGGGTACTTGCTGTGCAGACACGTACATCTTGCCACTATACCTGTTTCAATAATTTTTTTGATGGCATTAGTATGTTTAAATATATTGTAACTCTTTTAAAAAGTCAACATCAATCAATGTGAGTAACTCGATAACGTATACAGGATAATTAACAAAGAAATGTAATTACTAACAAAATGTCAACGAACAACAACCACAACCAATACTGAACTGTTTTAGAAAGAAGAAATAACTAAACACAAATAAATCAATGGTAGCTAGTAAAAATCAATTTCTAATGGTTCGAAAATGTGTGTTTGGTAAATAATAAGGGTAAATCAATTATTATAATACCAAAACTATAAACGCTTATTCTAAACCCGACATTGCCATGGATTAGTGATTTTTAAAAATCCCCCTAACTCAAATCGAACAATAAGAAAACCAAAAGCAATCACTCACCTGCATGTGCCTGAACCATAAGATGCTTCGTTTTCATCTTCGTACTCGTCAGGGAAACCTTGATCTGGTTGTAAAGGTGCTTCGGAGGTGGAGTCTTGGTGGAATGGTTTTTGAGTCCATGTTGATTGTGGGATTGGTGTGTACGAAGGCTTCTGGGGGTAAGTCGCGAGCGGAGCGTTTGTGGAAGGGTTGAACGCAGGCGTCTCCGTGTCAATAGGTATGTGCACAGCACCAACGGTTTCCGGTCTAGGATGTCCATTATAGTGATTGTTGACGTTTCCTCCTAGGACAGGCGGGCGGAACGATGAGCTACTTGGTTCGCTGAACCTATTGTTATTGTCGTCTGGAGTACTGGCTTCTGGCCGACTGGTCACCGCTACTTGTGCAGGGACTTCCGCTGGCACATCCGAATCGGGATTAATTTGACTATTCACGTCATCTGGCTTATCTTCCGCGACTGGTTTGTCTACTGCCACTGTATCTACAGGCACCTCATGTTGTTCGGACGACGGTGAAGTGGTCTCAGGTGTCTTGTTGTCATTGACCACCGCAGCTACTTCTGATGGCGGTGAGTTGGTATTTGGTTCAGCGGCGTTCTGACCATGGGGCAGAATTGGATCACTAGGAGTTTCCGGTCCGCTGTCATTCGTCAAGTCTTGCTCACCGGAACTTGGCAAGCGTTGCGTTGTCGGAGATTCTACCGGAGTTTTGCTATCGTCAACTACCGTTTCAACTCCAGGACGGTTAGATGGTAAATCGGTCGATACTCCTTGGTTGTCGGAATTTACTTCGGACTGTGGTAATATGTTTGGAATTTGGGTAGCTCCCTCCACTCCATCTGCGGTGTTTTCGGACGATGGCAAAATGTTTGATTCCGTCGTAGCTGTGGGAATTTCTGGTGACATTTCGTTTACTGCATCTGTTTGTTGAGATTCTGGGGTGCCAATTATACTGCTCGCAGTGGTCTGAGATTCGTTATTGTATTGATCCTGTGCAGAATTTTCGGGCACAATTGTTGGTTGATTGTCGTCTTCGAATAATCCAGCCTGTTGGTCTGAGGTTTCAGTAGGTTTTGATGAAGTTTCTAACGAGTTTTTAACCGCGTCCTTGACCAAGTAAACCGAAGAAATAATGTCATCAATACTCGATGGTCTCAAACCGCCAACATTATTATCGGAAACCATAGGTTTTTCGTCTGCTACAACCGTGGGCATTTCAGTTCCTACTTCTAATGGATTAACTTCGCTCACGGACAAATCCATCACTCCATCGGCGGGTTTCGAGTTGGAATCTTCATTGGTGGATGGATTATTAGACCCTTCGCTTGCTTTATTATCAGTCTCCGCTTGTTGATCTAAAGAAGAATCACCAGGCTTGTATGTAGTGGCGGCTATTGAGACGTCTGATTCAGAGTTTTGTTCTGGTCTATTTTGATCACTAGCAGGAATTGCATTTGTTACTGAAGGTTCATAGTTTTCTGGCGTCTGGGTTGACGGTACTAGGTCTTGGGATTCATTGACCGTGTTGATCAATACATTCTGTTCTTCGATATTATTTATCGTTTCTGGTTTGTATGTTATTGATTGATCATCGGTTACGTAAGCAGTCGTTGTAAAATCAGCTTCAGTATTTTCGATTGGTTTTTGGTTTTCAATCGGATGATTAATTTCAGTCGGTTTATTATTTTCTATTAGTTGATCACTTTCAGTTGGTTTATTGTTTTCTTCCAGTTTTTCATATTCTTCTGGTTTATCACTATTGTCTGGTTTTTCATTTTCTAATGACGGATAACTACTTACAGGTTTTTCACTGTCTATTGTTTCAAGATTAACTGCAGTAACTGGTACATCGTTTTCACCATCTATAGATACAATATCTTCTATAGGTTTATATGAGATTTCAGTATGTGCTGGAACCTCGGTAACACCGACATTATCTTCAGAATTTATATTAGAATTCGAATCGAATTGTGATGGGGCTAAAGTGCTGTATTCTTGTAAAGTTTGAGGATTGGATGTGCTTAATATATCCTCGCCAGTCTGAGTTTTTTAATCATTTACTTCGCCAGGCTTATCTTCTAATACCACAGTGGATATTAATTGAGGAGAACCAAGTTGATTGTGACTATCAAATAACATTCCTTCTATGCCTCCTTCTGTAAAATAAAAACAATAAGATATAATTCATTTGTAACTAATATAGTATAATTCATATTGATAATAAAAATATTTTAAGAAATCGAAAATCATAAAAAAAAAATTATATATATATTCACATAATTACTTACCACACATATATGTTGGGCAACACCACGATTCGTTTCCTGGGTGTAAAGGTATACAATTTCTATGTTGAGGTGGTGCAGGCGGGCAGTTTACAGAAGTACACGTGACTATACTATTTAAACACTCGCATTTTTCATGACACGGGTTAGATTTTGGCACTTCAGCTTTGTGTGCATAAGTCACAAAATCGATCAAACAGCTTCCCTCCCCTGGTACTCCAGGTTGTACAATTTCGTATTGTTCTGTTACTACGTCACTATCTTTGTCAACATTAGATGTGGCTACTTCATTTACAGAATCAACTGGTTCGTTCGCTACGATCGATTCTGCGGCATTTGATGATTCACTATAACTTGATGTTGTTATATCTATAACGTAATCTGGCGTTTTAGATACGAATGGCGAGTCAGCATTTTGTGGACTTTCAGCCGGCTTTTCATCAACAATTGGATTGGCGTTTAATATATTTTTTTCTGTAGGCGACTGAGTCGCATATAACTCAGATTCAGTATTTGAATCTTGATTTATTTCATTTGGACCTTCTGGCTTATATGGTGTATTGGTACTCGGCTCCACGTCATTGATAATATTCATATTTGGAGATTCTTGGATAGGGCTATTCGTTGAATCATCACCCACGCTGTACTGAGTTGAATCTTCATTAGTGCTTACTTGTGGTACAACATTCTCTGGTCGATCATTGTTTACGCCCGTTTCAACAGCATTCGATGGATTTACTTGTGAACCGTTTTCAATCATTTGACTCGTAGGTGCATCTGTAGACGCCACTACATCGTCATAGCTATTTGTTGTCACTACATTGTCTGCATTACCTACACTTCCCAAAATCGTTTGAATAGTAGAACTTCCGACTGAAACGTCTCCAATTGTATTTTGAACTGGTTTTTCATCAGATATTTGTGAATTTAAACCAGTTTCTATTTTATCAGAGGAAGGAGTAACATTGTCAACGTTATTAAGATTTGGTGCAATACTCGTAAACAAATTATTTTTATCATCCGAAGGAGCATCTGGGTATACTGCTGTTTGATCTACAATCTCGTTGACATTTTCGTCTTGTGATTGTTCGTGAGGAGTGACGTTTTCATATTCATTGCTTTGTTCTGGGACTTGAGTGTTAATAGATTGTTCACCGTTACCATCATACAATACAGGCAATTCTGTTAAAGCTTCTGAAATTTGTACTCCGTTCATTTCGGTTGGTGCATAACTATTGGAAGATTGATCGGGTGAACCGTTTGCCGACAAGTCGTTTGGTGTTTTCGTTTCGTCCTGTGTCGTTATTGGTTCACTAGGATTGATAACTTGAGGATTTACAGGAATATTATTATCAACTATTTGTAGTTGTGGTGAATAAGTAGTGACATCATTTGCTTGTTCATCAGCAGACGATGGATATTTATTTGTCGAAGTTTCTGATTCAGTTGGATTTTCAGTTTGAAGTGCGATTTGGTGCTCTACAGAATCAGCATTGGGATTATTTTCGTACTTTTCTCCTGAATGTTCGTCCACTGGTTGATGTTCATGAGATGAAGGATTATCTACCGATATACCATGATTTATTATTTCCGTGTTAACGTCATAGTTTATTCCAGTCGTTGGCGTAACCGCTGGTTCCACACTCACAGGGTTGTTCGATCCAAATTTGTTATTGTTGTGTTCAGAATCGGCAGGTAACTTTTCATAAGAATTAACCGGGCTATCTGTTATAGCATCACTGTTCACTTGATCGTCAACTGGCTTTACGTTTATTCCATTTTCATCATTTTCATCATTAGCTTGCGGTATCACGCTTTGGCCTTTTGTAACTGTATCCGTGTGACTTGCTGGTACTCCATTGACCTTGTCGGCGGTATCAGTAAACGATGTTTTGTCATCAGCTGATGGTTTTGGAACCTCAACCGTCTTGTCTTCGTTCTTTTCTGTCGACGAATATTTATCACTGGTATTGTTTACATTGGTTATTGAAGTAGACTCTTCACCTTTAACTTGATTATCCGAAAACAGTGGTGGTGATGTTGGTGATACGACAAATATATTATTATCTTCGTTTGGTTGTTCTGTTGCACCATCATTTTCTGAAGCTACTGGTGCTCCTGGTTGTATAGGGCTATTTTCAGATTGTGGTTTATAAGGTTTGGATGGAATTTCTGTTGAATATGTATTTTCTGATTGGGGACTACTTTGATTATTTTGTTCTACTGGTGTTTTATCTGATTGTACTAGTTTATTCTGTTCAGTCAATTCATTTTCTACTTTAGGCACATCAGTTGGGGATACGTTCTCTGCCTGAGGACTGTCTTGGTTTATTTGTCCTACTGGTGTTTTATCAGATTCTGGTTTATTGTCAGTACCAGAAGTATTGTCCACTATTGGTTTATTTTGTTCAGTTGGTTCATTTTCTACTTTTGGAATTACAGTTGGAGATACATTCTCAGATTGAGGACTATCCTGGTTATTTGGAGCTACCGGGGTCTTATCTAATTCTGGTTGGTTTTGTCCACCAGAAGTACTATCCACTATTGGTTTATTTTGTTCAGTTGGTTCATTTTCTACTTTGGGGACATCAGTTGGAGGTACGTTCTCTGACGACTGAGGACTGTCTTGATTTATTTGTCCTACTGTTATCTTATCGGATTCTGGTTTGTTGTCAGTACCAGAAGTATTATCCACTACTGGTTTATTTTGTTCAGTTGGTTCATTTTCTACTTTAGGTATTTCAGTTGGAGATACATTTTCTGGCTGAGAATTAACCTGGTTATTTTGGGCAATAGGTGTCTCATCAGATTCCGGTTTGTTTTCGGCTCCTGAACTACTGTCCACCATTGGATTATTTTGTTCAGTGTGGTCAATTTCTACTTCTGGAATTTCTGTTGGAGATACATTCTCTGACTGAGAACTATCTTGGTTACTTGGTGTTACCGGGGTCTTATCAGATTCTGGTTGGTTTGCAGCTCCTGAAGAACTGTCCAATACCGGTTTATTTTGTTCAGTGTTGGAGATACATTCTCTGACTGAGAACTATCTTGGTTACTTGGTGTTACCGGGGTCTTATCAGATTCTGGTTGGTTTGCAGCTCCTGAAGAACTGTCCAATACTGGTTTATTTTGTTCAGTCGGTTCATTTTCTACTTTTGGAATTTCAGTGGGAGACGCATTCTCTGACTCAGGACTATCTAGGTTTATTTGTTCTACAGGTATTTTATCAGATTCCGGTTGATTACCAGTTCCAGATGTACTGTCCAACACTGGTTTATTTTGTTCAGTTGGTTCATTTTCTAGTTTGGGGATTTCAGTTGGAGATACATTCTCTGACTGAGGACTATCCTGGTTATTTGGTGCAACCGAAGTCTTATCTGATTGTGGTTGGTTCGCAGCTCCTGAAGAACTGTCGAATACCGGTTTATTTTGTGCAGTCGGTTCATTTTCCACTTTAGGAATATCCGTTGGAGATAAGTTCTCTGGCGACTGAGGACTGTCTTGATTTATTTGTCCTACTGTTATCTTATCAGATTCTGGTTTGCTGTCAGTACCAGAAGTATTATCCACTACGGGTTTATTTTGTTCAGTTGGTTCATTTTCTACTTCAAATATTTCAGTTGGAGATACATTTTCTGGCTGAGAATTAACCTGGTTATTTTGGACCATAGGTGTCTCATCAGAATCCGGTTTATTTTCAGCTCCTGCACTACTGTCCACCATTGGATTATTTTGTTCAGTGTGGTCATTTTCTACTTCTGGAATTTCTGTTGGAGATACATTCTCTGACTGAGGATTATACTGGTTACTCGGTGTTACCGGGGTCTTATCAGATTCTGGTTGGTTTGCAGCTCCTGAAGAACTGTCCAATACCGGTTTATTTTGTTCAGTCGGTTCATTTTCAACTTTTGGAATTTCAGTTGGAGATACATTCTCTGACTGAGGACTGTCTTGGTTTATTTGTTCTACATTTTTATTATCAGATTCTGCTTGATTTTCAGTTCCCGATGTACTGTCTTCCACTGGTTTATTTTGTTCAGTCGGTTCATTTTCTACATCTGAAATTTCAGTGGGAGATACATTCTCTGACTGAGGATTGTCTTGATTATTTTGTTGTTGGGGCATTATATCTGATTCCAGTTGATTTTTTTCTCCTGTAGGACCATCGACTATTGGTTTATTTTGTTCGGTGGAGTCATTTTCTACTTTTGGAATTTCTGTTGGAGATACATTCTCTGACTGAGAACTATCCTGGTTATTTGGAGCTACCGAGGTATTATCAGATTCTGGTTGGTTTGCAGCTCCCGAAGTACCGTCCACAGCTGGTTTGATTTGTACTGTGGGTTCATCGTCTACATTAGGGACATCAGTTGGAGACACGTTTTCTGTCTGAGGTTTATCTTGATGTATTTGTTCTACAGGTGTCTTACCAAATTCTGGTTTGTTTTCAGATTCTGAAGTGCTGTCTACTACTGGTTTATTTTGATCGTTGATTTCATTTTCTACTTTTGGAATTTCAGTTGGAGATACATTCTCTGACTGAGGACTATCCTGGTTATTTTGAGCTACAGGTGTCTTATCAGATTCTTGTTGGTTTTCAGTACCAGAAGAGCTGTCTACCACTGGTTTATTTTGCTCAGTTGGTTCATTTTCTACTTTAGGGACATCAGTTGGAGATACGTTCTCTGACTGAAGACTGTCTTGATTTATTTGTCCTGTTTGTGTCTTATCAGATTCTGGTCGGTATTCAGTACCAGAAATACTTTCTACTACTGGTTTATTTTGTTCAGTCGGTTCATTTTCTACTTTGGGGACATCAGTTGGAGATACGTTCTCTGACTGAAGACTATCTTGATTTATTTGTCCTACTGGTTTCTTATCAGATGCTGAAGTGCCGTCTACTGCTGGTTTATTTTGATCGTTGATTTCATTTTCTACTTTTGGAATTTCAGTTGGAGATACATTCTCTGACTGAGGACTATCCTGGTTATTTTGAGCTAAAGGTGTCTTATCAGATTCTTGTTGGATTTCAGTACCAGAAGTACTGTCCACTACTGGTTTATTTTGTTCAGCCTGTTCATTTTCTACTTTAGGGATTTCAGTTGGAGATTCAATTTCTGATTGAGCACTGTCTTGATTTTCTTGTTTGGTAGGATTTTGATTCTCATTGAAGGCTATTTCAGATTGTGGTTTAGTGTCCGAGTGTGTTTGTTCGTTATCATTTGATGTAATGGGCTCTTTATCAATTACAGCAATATTTTCAGTAGTAATATCTTCTTGAGGTTTATCTTGGACATTTGAACTTTGTGTGGCGCTTTCTACAGTATTTTCCGTAGACGCAACTGGTAAGTTGGAAGTAATAACATCTTGAATTGGGTGTTTATCCGGAATTTCGTTACTTATATTTTCTTGGTCAACATTATTGTCATCATTTTTATAGGTAATTGTCTGAGTGGTAGAAGGAACAGCATTTTCATTTGACGAAGGATCAGACGCCGGTTGCGTTTCGTCGATTATTGTTGGCTCATTAGGTTTGTCTGTACTGTCATAATTAGCTTGTCCAGATTCTGTACCGACAGAGTTTTCTTGATTTATTAAATTTGGCGTGGCACTCGAAGTTTCATGCTTATTTTCTTCGTTTAATTTATTTGCACCATCACTATTAGGTAGTATATTTGTTTCTCCTGCATTATTATGACTGTCTGGAGAAGCTGCTGTAGTATCATCATCCACATTATTTCCGTCGTCTTGCTCACTTGTTGGTTGGTTTTCTCCCAGTTTATTGTATATATCTTCATTTAATGGGAACTTTTCGGCTTCGTTTTCGTCTGAATCGCTCAGCGACATTGGTTGTAGCGTTGATGCGTCATACGAACTGTTCGTTTCATTTGCTGTAAATTAATAATAAAACACGCTCATATTAATACACTGAGATAATTCAGATGATAAATATTTTTCTAAATTAATGTAAATAAATAAATGTATATTATGTATATATGTAACACATACCACATTGATACGAAGTTGGACAACATTGACCAGCCGGTGGTGTTTCCGGTGTGCAGTCTTTTCCTCTGAGAGGTTCACCGCAGTCTTGAACTGCACACACAATATCACCTCTCATACAATAACAATGTTCGCAAGGTTTATCCGAGACCATAGCAATAGACTCTCCATCTCGGTAAGTGTCCTCGTTAACTCGGCAATCAAACGGAGCGGAAGTAGTGGAAAAGACTAGCCCACCAGTGATTTGTGGTGCCGACGTAGTAGATTTTTCACTTTCATAATCTATACAAACGTTCGAGTTACGATTAATATTACTGTTTAGGTAACCTATGCACACTCACAAAGTGATATGTGTAAAGTATGTTATAAAGCGATTTTCTGAAATTCTACCAACAACTCACCACAATCGTATCGAACAGGACAGCAAACGCCTTCATGATATACTGGTCGACAACCTTCCACGTGCAACGTACACTCTTGCATGATGCAAGCTGTTCGGTTTCTGATACAGTAACAGAGTTCACAAGGTTTTTTCGGATTGGGAGGAACCTATGTACAAACGTGGATAAAGACAAATATATTATAATCGGGTTTTATCGATAAGATGTAGCTTCGAAACAATAACTGTTTCCAGACTCACCTGTGCCCCATCGGGAAAGAATTCGTTTTCGTCCATCATGCATCCGTAATTGTCGTGCCATCCAATTTCGGTTGTTGTCGTCGGTGTCGGTGTGGTTGAACTGGTCAACAGGTGTACTGGCACTGTAACATCCGAACCAACTGGGTGGCTTATTGATGTACGAATTTATAGTTTTATTTTTATATTTAATAACATACCTTCCGGGCAAGATATGGTGGGACAACATTGATCCGGTGATTTCTGTACCGTACAGTCTTGTCCAATTGCTTTTGAAAAAGGACACACTCTCAGGTAGCACATCAGCATTCTATTGTGGCAAGTACAGTTTAAACACGGTTCGTTGGTTACTATGCGGTCACCTTCTTCGTAGTGTTGATAGTTATAGTAACAGCCATTCGGGTCTAAAAAAAAATACATATTATGAAAACTCGATAAAATTGTGCACATCGTGTGTTCTATGATCTAGTGAAATATAATAATTTTTAAATAGATTTTAAAGATTTTAAAGATTTAATTAAAAATATATATATATGTGTTTCTTGAAAAAATATTGTCCTACGAGATTCAATTCTATATTCATCATTATTATTTATACTATATAGTTACTCGTAATATATTCAGTAATAAATTATAACTATTTACGGTATATTCCATTATTCCCATTACATCCATTATCCAAGTCAACTTATAACAAAAAAGAATCATTAAAAAAATTATTTTTAGGTGGTTAATGTATTGATAGAATTGCACTTGAAGCTTAAGTATGTTTATAATTTTATCAGATAAAATAATCTGTCTAAACATTTTTATTTTGAAAAAACGCAGCAACGTATTATCGTTGACACTGGTGTAGGTGTTTTGCATAACCGATCAGCCTTCTTCTGAGTTTATACTTTCTGGTTTTAATATAATATTTAAACATATAATAATTTTGTATTATATATTGCGACGTTGTGTCTATATATTTTGATGTACAATAATAAAATAATAAACTGTTGTTATTGAGCTTATCAAGCATAACAGAACTAGGGAAAATTATGAAAACTATAATGTTACACACTAATAAAATACATTTTTTTTTTTCGTAAGTGGTATTAAATATTAAGCCGTCAATGAAAAACACGTTTAAGATTATTTACACACATTATTTGAGTTTTTTTTTTCAAACTCGTATAGTTGTTGGCGATTCGTTTCAGTTGTGAAAGAAAATGAATCCGTACGATTATAGCAGAATGATAATAGATAATAAGGTTCTTACCATTAAAATAGTCCGCCAAGTCAGTCCGTTTTGCTTCGATTTCATCGTAAGTTGTCGGAGCTGAAACACAAGAAAATAGTTTATTTTTATTTTATTGGTTTGGATTATGCGTTGTTCAACACATGATGTGTGGGAAAATATACCATTAAACGAGGGTCGTGCCTAATAATGCTGTTGTAATAAAGTAGATGGCTGAATTATATATAACCTACCCTGAACCTGTACAGGAAAAAAAATAGGTACTACGCGAGTATGCAATAATACGAGTATAACTACAACGCAACAGTGCGGATATACCTACATGGAAAAACGATGATGGCCAACAATGATACTACATCAACAACAACAACAACAACAACAATAATAATAATAATCGTTTATACCATTAAACGTGATTTCGTTTTCGCACGCCCCACACAACAATGGTCCCTCAGACACGGCGTTTATAATATTAACAACTACCAATGGTGTGCGGACGTTTTTTTTATTTTTCTGTTTTTGAGTTGTATACAATTAACGAGCTTGTATGCTAGCGGAGACGTAAGTCGTATAATATGTTGTGGCAGTAAACTGCGGTAAACGTGATGATAGATATTATAATAATATGTTAGTAAGGTATCTGGGTACTTATCTGGAGGATTTGACAGTAGTTGTAGTTGCTCGTTTGAATTGTTTTTTTTAATTGCCAATTTAATATACACTTTTAATTACAGATCACCCTATTTTTTATCTATTTCATACAATACTTTATTTGTTGTTTAAATATTATTATTTAAAATTAATAACTGATTGCAATTTATTAATCATTTTTTTCTAAAAAATTTTACCTATAATCAATGATATTTTTTAGTGAACTTAACTTTGAAGTTTCTGAATCTAGTCTCAATTCTCATTTTTTTTTTTATTTGACTCCATAATATATCAATAATTATTAAGTACGTTTTAAGTTAATGAAATATACTTCAAATGGTCGTGTAAATATTAAAAGTTATTATATTTTCAAATTTCATATCAGAATTTCAGAAAAATTTATTTTTAACGAATAACGATGGACAAAGCAAATTTTGTATTGTAACTTATAAGTTGATATTATGACAATTTTAAATAATTATTAAAGTACTTAGCAAAATGCCAAAATATTTATTATTGGGTATAAACCTTATATTCAAATGGTTGTACGACTTTTGAATTATCATAGGTATAAATGTATCCTAAGTATTAGTTTATATCCATACCGAAATTTGAAACAATTTATACAAAAAAAAAAAACAATCCACCTCCCAAAAAAAGAAAGTAGAAAATAATATCATAACATTCATAACCTGTGTATGATACAATTTTATAGGTACCGCTTTATCATGCCAAAGCATACTTCTACGAGAGTATACTATATACTTATCATACCATTTATATATACCATTATGGTTGTACATGGTATATATTGTATTCGACGAGTTCGAGTTGCGGTAATGGTCGCTGCAATACTTGTATTATATATAAATAATTTATGTAAAATGGAATTCGATCAATCGAACCGATCTTGCAGACACGAATGGTATACCGACGATAGGTCGCAGCAGGTTTAATCTCACTCGGTGTTTCCTCCTATGATCGGGAATATCCGTTGTCGAGAGTATGATCTTCGCACCAAGCTATCGTTTAAGGCAGAGGTTCTCGAACTATGGTAAGCGTACCACTAGTGGTACGCTGAAGACTTCATGTCACGTAAGCCACAAAGTGATGGAACGGAGAGTAAATAAATGAATATTTTAAACCGTGTTTGAACACGATCACATGGAAATAGATATTAAGTGGTACGCGACAGATTAATAATACACAATATGAGTGGTACGCGAAAAATAAAGTTTGAGAACCGCTGGTTTAAGGGTCTCTCTAGTATGCGTATAACTGTATACCCGCAGCACTGTGTTTATTTTTCGAAACCATCGATCACGCGGCCAAATGTGGGACAATCGCTTGGAGTTTCCACGTACCAAACCATTATACTTGTATTGGTAATATCATATACCTGCAATACTGTCGAACGAGATTTAACGGCACCTTCACACGGGCCGCCGTGGTCGGGGTCGTCCCGTGATATAAGACACACGATCATCAGCAGTAGTTATACTCGGAAGTTAACTGGTGATAAAATTGTCTTTTTAAAACCACGTATATTATTATTATTATTATTATTATTGTACACGCACCGTAATGGTGTGGAACCGGTTGTCTCGAAATAGAGACGAATACCTAATAATATAATATGATTATAATAACGATACTGCGATAGAACGGAAAAATCGTAGAGAAAGAGAGAGACAGAGAAACGCTGCAGTCTATAATAATGTTATGAACTCGACGCAACGTGTTGCAGCTGTGGCGGAATTTTGCATTTCCTGATACGCACACACACGCGATAACTGCCGCTATACCACCTATACCTAATCATACAGGTAGTGGTGGTGATGGGATAAGACGACCGCGGTAATTGACGGTTCCGAGACACGATATGGCGGAAAGAACGCACAAATTCCTCGAGACGTTGACGCTCACGAATGAGGCGTTTATTTATTTTTCGTCCCGAGTGAGACGTTTAAGCTTTAAATATAAGCGTTAATGAACTTGGTAGGTGCGTCATTTATTATTTATACGACTGGACCGAAACAAACTGATGTAATTATACAATATATTATAGTACAATATACTAATAGAGAATATATATTTTAGATTTTGGATAATATATTATTTCGAATTTTTTTGTTAAGGCTATAGGAACTACACAATACTTGCAACTATAATCGTGAAAATAAGCAAATTTATATAAATTATTTTAATATTTTAAAGGTGTAAAAATAAAACGCAATTTAGAAAAGTAGTAATAAATAAATAAAACTGTGTTGTACTATCATCATTTATCAGGGATGCGAGCGTGAATTTTTCGGTACATTTAATATTATAAAACTATAATTCACATATTTTAGATTCAGAGCGTGTGATGATATACCTATGTATTGATTTTACAATTTTGTGTATGTCCATGATGTACTCGTAGAGTAGTCGAAATAATGCTTCAATTTTCAACTTTAGTATCTTTTCCGGTGGGTAAGTAAATCTATAGTTAATGCATTCAAGAGGTCACAATAAACACTGTTTTATTTTAGTTATTTTAAGTTCACACTTGAACGAAATTACATATTAAAATCAAGAAAAACAATGTACCTATTTTGTTGTAATTTAAAAATATTATTCTGGGGTGCTTGAAAATTGTATAGAATATATTATATATTTTATACACATAATGCAATTTTTTGGACAAAAATGAATTTAACCTTCTATAGTACCAAATACTAATGCCTAATAGTAAAACAAATTACTTTAACCACAATAATATTACAAAATATACTTAGTTATATTATATTATAGGCTGACAGACCGTTTTTGTTCAGAATCATTTTTCGTATGCTTTTACATCATTTAATTCAAATTTAACACATGCATCACAGTGGATCTCTAGACAAGTAATTTACAGCAGAGCGTTATCTGATTGCCTTTTTTTCATTTTGTAATAATTAATAGAGTTTTTTTACCATAATTTTGCGACGTTGCGATTTACCTCTTCCGGGTATATTTTGTTGTCATATGAACGTCGATCTCAATTATAATTTGATTTTTATTTCATAGAAGAATAGTATTTAAAATATTATTTTTTAATAATTCGGAATAAATTGATTTTGGATGTTATTTACAGCCTTTTTTTATTTTATCTTAAAGTCTTACTTTCCTATAACTATTATTACCTAAGTTTTTTCATATTCAACAGTTATGTGAGCACAGTTTTGTAGACAGTTTAGTGCACCAAACTCACATCATACATGGTTATTGTTTACTGTGTACACAATATTATTACCCAACAGTATAATATAATATACTGAGCCGTATGCGTCAATATCCAGTTTTGACAGTAATATTATTTGTATTGTTTTTCGCGTCGTCTTCATCAGCTGGTGTTTCGTCGAGTATTATGTACCTGCAGTTGTGTCCACACCGGCACTCTATTATAGTCGGTCAACTACAGCGCATTATTAAAATTATATTATAATATCGTTGCCTCCGCTCAACAGGTAGGTACAAGTATAGTAGTTATATATCCTGTGCCGCGGACAACTCACACGCCGAATCGCGACCCGTTATCCCGAGACGACGATATGATCTATACGCATGCTTTTCGACGCCCATCGTCGCCCGACACCGTCGCTGTCCGCCGGCGCGTTTACATTAGCGAAATTATTCTGGAAACGCGTTTGTAATGGTAATAATGTGTGCGATGATAACGGTCCACCACGGGCCACACTTCCGTCAGCGGCGGATTTTCTCACGACATTATAACATACGCACAAGCCATATAATGCGCTTTTCGGTACTATCGTCCACCCATTTTTCCCTCCGAAATGTTATAATAATAATTCGGGTCATATATTATTATTTTAACTCCGTCGCACACACTCATTATTACTGATATTATAGTGTAATCATTGCGGACGTCTGAACAGTTATAATATTATATATAGACACACGCGAAACGCCCCGCGGAAACGAGACGACCGGTGCGATTTCGTAACACGAGAATATTATAATAATGATACGTCGTATACTCTGAAACACCACCAAACAACACAGATTCTAAAATATGATGTATATCGTATTATGATGCAGCAGTTCTGTAAAATATATGCGTCGAATATTATGTGTAGGTCCTCTACAAGTTGCAGTCATCAGGTCGTCATATATGCGCGTGTATATATACGCGGTTTTTACGAAAAACGCTCGTTCGGCTGTCTCGTCCGTTTACTGTTTTTGGTTGTTGTGGTGTTTCATATTATTAATTGTTTGACCTCGTTTGCCCGCTCGTAGTTATATCAACGATAATAATAATTATATATGGTTGTGTATAATTTATTGTGTTCGTTGAATTCTGAATGCAGCAGCTACATTATAGGACTATAAGGTGTCAGTTTTTCCGGTCGTCCGTCTGCGGTATACAGACCGTCCGAGATGCTGCCATGTCGTTGGACGACGTCCAATAACGTGCAAATATTCGTGTGTATGTGTATTTGTTGATTTCGGTCCTAAAAAACGGATGGCACGAAAAACGGCCGCTATAATGTGATCGCTGGATTTGAAATTCTCGCTACATTTTTTAAACACGTCTTATGTATAATAGCCATTGTGCTGCGTCGTAGATTATTATAATGTGCCTACACGTGTGAAACGTGCACGAACGCGGTGTGGGCACCGGTGTGGCGACGCTAGAGAGTCGGCAGAGAGCACCGATTACGCGAGAATCGTGAACTGTGCGTGAAACGTCGTTTTACGGCCAAGTTCATGGATGTCCGATTATTGTGCCCCGCGGGTCTTCGCTGCAACCTAATGGACGGTCGCATTGTGTGCAGCAGTTGCAGCGGCAACGTAATCGCCTGTCCTTCACACCGTCCGAGATGATGTCTCATAATAAAATATATATTATTATCGTTGGGTATAAAAGACGCATCGCAGTTTTCTGTACGACCAAGTGTTTCGTACGTCGTGCCGCCTCCGCTGTATTTTCGTACACGATTCTATCGTCGTCGCCAAGACGTATAACATGGATATACGTCAATGAATGAACATAATGATCATCTCGGTCGATTAAATGTTTGAACTCAACGCCTAATACGTAGTGAATACTGTAAAGATATTAAATTCAGAAGCTACATATTATTTTATTTGGTTGAAAACGGCTCGGACTTCTAATAAATACCTCTCGAACTCGTACTACATATACGACTGCAGAGTAATAGACAACATTAAGTGGTATAATACTTCTTGTAAGGCTGGTAATTATTGGTATACTGCACCTACACGTTTTCACGGTGGATTTTCCTTTCTGCTGTACAATTATATAATATGTATAATGTATGTATAGAAATAAGATAGCAGGTGGTTACCGCATAAACCGCTCGTCGGTGTAGTCCATTACTTAACTCACTCTCGGTCGAGTGTTATTGTCCTTTGGGATTCGCATAGGCTGCACTCATCCCCCCAGAACGGCGAAACATATTTTTGTTCCTATTATACATTTATTTTATCACTTTGTACGAAAATGGTTAATAATAATGAACAATATAATATATTATCTAGTACTTATATTATCCTAAGACAACCGCTCTCGAAACAATGGGTGGCGGGCGTCGGCGGCAGCCAAGTCGCACCATAAAAGACAATAATACCTTCGAGAACTTTGCGCCGCCTCCCCCACCTTGCCACATCCTCATACCCTTAATCTCATCACCGTAACGGGGCGGCGGCGGCGGTGAGGGTTCACACTCACATATATATATATATATAATATTATAAAGCGCTCGTTGTACTGCGCACAATGCGACGACCGTGCAAAATGCAAAACTCTCTTGACCTTTACTCTCGTCCGATGTGCGTCGCACGACGACCGTCGTTTTAATGTTATGCGTCCGTCTTTGCGGCGAACTTGTAGCGCACATTTCGCCGCCAAAGCGATTGAATGCTAAATCCCATTGGCCACGGCCAGCTGCTGCGGGTATTCACTGTCGTCGATGTTAAGTATATATTATTATATAAATGGCGAAGTTGTCGTCGCGCTGAATAATTCATCGTGGCACACGGTCGGGGGACCGACAGCACAGAGATTTTGATTTGAAGCGACGTCCGATGAGTTTGTTTTTCGAGACGACCGTGCGAACGGACGACAATAATGCCTTTGGCTGCGGCAGGCGCGCGCTCGACGATAAACGAGTCGTAAAATATATAATTTATGTCCGTCGCGGGCCGACAACAAAGTAGGTTCGAGCGAGCCGCCTAAACCTAATATGCAGTGCTTGTATATACCGTATAGGTATGAGAATAAACAGTTCGTGTGTTTTACAATACATAATATTATATACTTGTGTGTGCATATAACGTCATGGTTTACACGCAGCGAGTGATTTCGGCTAATCGCTGTGCTTTGGGGTGCGAACGGTCAACGAATAACGTACATTTGATAATACTTTAATATTTTCACAGTAGGTACAGAGACGGATTTAATTTTTATCCGATAGTTTAGAACAACAACAACTATAATAATACTATAATACCGGAATGAGCAGGGTGTGGTGCGCGATTCAATCCTATATGAGAATATTAATAATATATGCATTATTAAATCAATAATTATAAATACAGTGAAGCTGTGATGTACCAAAAAAATTAAAAAATATGTATGCACTTATATAGATTAAAAATAATAAGTAAAATATGGAAAGACCACGCACTTTACAATCTTTAAGCGCAGAAGTACATTTTGTCGATGTTACGTTAGCAATTTGTCGTATTTGTATTTATATTGTTATCTTTTTAAATATTGTTATGTTCAAACTCAGTTTAAATACGACCATCAAACGCAGTGTACTACCTATATCTTATATTACCTACACCATTTTAATATTTTTCATCGGTTTTTTCATCAAATAATAAATAAATACCTAATATGCCGAATAATAATATTGTGACTTGAAGCAATACTATTACTATTAAAACGAAAAATCGAAAGCATAATCAAATAAATTGCCTGACTTTTTGAGAAAAATTCATATATTTGTAACTTGTGAGATTATACCTGAAGAAAATATGATGTAGGCAATAAAAAGTTCAAATAAGAAAAAAAGTTTTTATGTGTTACGAATATATGCACTATTATGGAATTTTATAGTCAGGGATATAAATCATAGTTTGACTGAAGTTTGGACAAACGGTTGGTATTTAATTGTTAACTTTTTTTATAATATGTATGCTACAGAGATACATTTTTAGATGGATTTTTCGTGATATTTGTGTGCGGATGGGTTTTCGAACAGATTAGTGCAAACAAACACTACTGCGTACATTATAATATCATTGCTGAAGAAAAGAAGCTTTAAATGGTTTACTATCCTTTGTAGTTTCAGCAAGTATAAGTGTTTCAAGAAAAGTATACAAAGAAAAGCAACACTAATCCCTCAAATGCGACAGTCTCTTAAAATGAAAAAAAACGATGAAATCGCATGGTTCTCTATACGAGCTGTATCGTAAGTGTATAAAAATATACATGTACTATTTGTTATAGTGATGGGAAAAAAATGTAAATTTAAATCCATTTAGTACAACACACTTTTTAGACACAAAATACGGGAGCTGTTTACGTGTATATATATATTTTATATAAAAATCACATTAGATGCGGGTACTCACCAGATTTTGTTAGTGCCACGCAGACGACCAATATGAGTGCCGCGGTCATCCCGCAGCGGTGTTGGAAGCTCGTGGGAGCTGCACTCCCCAGAGCCATCTCTAGTTGCATCGGCCTGGAAAAAAAAAACGGTAAAATTAAAGAAAACGTTTTAAATAAAAAAAAAAACGGCATAATGTATTGCAGTGCAGTATCGACGATGAGGTCGAAACCGGTTACGGGGCGATGTTATGATCGACAATACGGTAATAATGTGTGCTATTTTCGACGGCATTCGAGTTATAATATTAAATAATAATTATGCATACAAGCTAGCGATGATGATAATAACGTTGCGCACGTCCCCCGGGGTGTACTGCGGAATGCGCACGCGCGTAGACATATCTCGAGTTTTATTATAATGTATCGTATAATATTATGTAGATCTTACAACGATTTTCGTGGTCGTGATTTATAAATAATGATTAATGATATACCCCTTACCCAGTTACCTATACACGCGGTGCGCTTTTCTATCGGCGCGGGTTACCGGCTATACCGTTACATTACTATTATTTGCTGAGACTGATGCCGTTTCTGACTGCCATGACCGTATGAAACTCTGCTCTGCACCAGGTGTGTGTGTGTGTGTGTGTGTGTGTGTGTGTGTGTGAAACTATAAGCCTGGTCGCAAGTATGGCTGGCAGGTAAGCAGAAGTAAGTACCTACGTCTATATATAGGTATCAAATTATGTGTACTACATCTCGCGGACACACTACCGGACTAACCAGTCACAGCGGGATTAACGGCCGTTCATATCCATTTTTATATCATATATTAATACAATTCATATATCGCGATGACGATGGCCGTGTGTACTGGCGAAGATAATCATGGTGAATTACACGATTATTGGCACTAGCGTCTCATTTTTATTATAATTTATAATATAATATTATATTACGTTTGACCGGAGCGACACTACTCCACCGTTAAAAACCGACCTCGTCTATTCTAACATTTCCAATAATGCTCAGAGTATTATTATTTACTATTCCCAAAATAGTAAGGTTCCTAAATAATTAGACTATAGTATGAATAGTGTGTAATTTAATTATTGAAAAGTCTACCAGCATAGAGTAAATAATTAGACTATAGTATGAATAGTGTGTAATTTAATTATTGAAAAGTCTACCAGCATAGAGTAAAGATAGATTTTTTGCGAGACTATATCCCGAGGACTGTTGGGAATCGCCATCATTGACGTAGCGGTTTTTTCTTGAATTTTTTTTTTTTTATTTGCTTCTCTAAGGCCAAAATTGTTATGTGGTATGTCAAGTGGTATTACGACATAGGTTGGTTAGTACGTTATATTTCGACCGTCGGGATGCAGCACACATACTATTATATCATTGTGGACGTAATAAATAATATTTTGAATTCGCGAAAAGACGCTCCAGGGTTAAACCCTCGGCCAGCCGTCGTTGGGCACAACGGTATAGTAATATAATGATGACAATTCAATCGTCAATGGTATTATACAATAATAATAATATTATGCGATAATATTAGTCTCGTTATGACATGGTAGATAACCACGGTAGTGAACCGTGAATGCATCGTTGTCCGGAGGCAAAACATAAAAAAAAAACATTAATATAATATTGGTACTGCTCTCTCCCGTAGGTACACCGTACACGATCATAATATTATGTATTTTTTTTTTAAACGTACCCATTCGCATATTATTCAATATATATATATATAAGTAACATAATAGTTCAGCGCCTGTTTATTATTATTTTTTTCTACTTTTAATGATTCGAGAAAAACCGAGGTCCTTAAACTCTCTCACCATCACATGTGTTGTTTATAATTGTTGTTGCATATTATAATATTGCCCATACAGAAACACGAAGGCAACGACGACGACGACACTATAATAACGAAAAATAATAACAATATGTATTGACGGAAGAAGCAGAAAATTGGATATTCGTGTGTGCTTGGAAATCCGGCTTAAAATTTTCAATTTAAACGTAATTGCGCGTGTCCTCGGTTCGTGCAGCGTTTTTTTGCGAGCGTTTATAGGCATTAGGTACATATTATAATGTGTATAGGTGCACGATCGCACGAGATGAAAGATGATTACAATGTTGTATCGTAAACCGTAAGGACCTATAATGCGTTTGGTTTAATATTTGTCTTGCCGGAACCGAAATGGAACCTCGTCGCCGGAGTCGTATATTCAACATTTTATGTTATAATGCACCGTTTGAAATCCGATTTAAAATTATATTTATATATAGGTATATACTATTATAACAATATGCATATTAACTCATAATATACTTAATATTGTATTAGCACTGAACATTTTCAAGCGAGACGATACTATTTTTTTTATTTATAGTTTCCTCGCTCACAGTATTATTATTATACGTATTAGTACGTACCCGATGGCTATGAAGTTAAACATTTTACGAACAATTTTTCTCAAAATGGTGATGATTTATGATTATAATTTATAGCCCGTCGGGTCAATCAAAGTCAACATCGATTTCATCGTTTTCCGGATACTTAAAAAACTTAAAAACTACTGTTTTCATTGTTAATATGAATTTTGGCATCGTTTGGAGCAATTGAAAAGACTATAAAGTCGTTTTAAGAAGGTTCGACCTGGATTATTCAAGATTATCTGTCATCGAGGCAACTTTATAGGCATATACGGGAAACGACATAGGTGGTAGGTAAACTATATTAGATAGCTGTTAGCTGATGGTATAACTCGAATGTTATTACTTATAATATTATGTAAATTATTTTTCATGTAGGTGTATAATATGTGCATTACGACGCTGTTTGGGGCGTGCACCTTTATTTTCCTGGTTATCCCCAAAACGTAACCCCATCGCGAGACTTGTCAAAACTGGATGTTCGATGCCCACAAGGCACAAAATAACGATAGTTATTAATAATATCACATCGTAAATATTTCTATACTATAAATAGAATATATTTTTATAATAATATCTACGTAAATTAGGTTTGCTGTGTCGTAAATAGCGTATTTTATAGGTATTATCTATAAACGTGCGTACGTAAAGATGGGCACGCGTGCGTGGGTACCTAAGCATGTATATGTTATACATAAACGTATAACAAAATAATATGTAGAAAAAACCACCTGTTTAGTCGCCGCCGTCGTAATATAATATATCGAGAACACTTGTTTTCGGCGCTCAACCCACTCGTCGTCGGCGGTACACGATGGTTTTTTTTTCTTTATTTTATGATATATATATATTTTTTTCTACGTCTGAGTTACGACAACCGTCCGTTTACGGGAGGACAATTGATTCTGCTTTCGTTTTTCTATCCGACGGTGTACCATATATATATATAATACACACCTCGTTAATAGGCGCCGTCCGTAGGCCGACCGGCAAGGTCGTCGTCTCGGCGGCAGGCGACCACCCGAATAACATATAATTCGTGTTCGTGAAAAACAAAAACTGAACTTGTTTTAACGCGTTTCTTTTTGATCGTTGTCTAACAACCAGAGTCACTGTCATACCAAGTCGAGATCGTAAAAGATGAGAAGGGTGTAATGACATGTAACGACATGTTTTCAAAAAACGGACGAGAACCTTTCAATACAGTCAACTTTTTGTTAAAATCCTTGATAGACTTTATCATAGTCAACGGTGTTTTTACTTCACGATGATTTCTAAAAAACTGCAGTTGGAAAATTTGAAAAGAAACATCTTCTTGCAACAGAATTCGTTATGTTTGTTTTTCGATGAATTCATAAATCGATTCAGAAAAAAAATGGTTTGAGCAGAGGGAGGGAACAATCGATACGTCGCCTTATATGTACATTGCAGCAGTCTCGTAACTCACGAAAACGTGATAATATATTATGATATTATAATGTTATTTATTGCCTTTGGCGGTTATTCGACAAATTTTCGATCGAAACTCGAAAGAAAACGGACGTCGTGCGGACTTAAATTTTTTTTTTTCTTTCGACATATTCGTCCCGTTATTCCAACGGTTCATCTCGGTGGTCTCGTGCTCAAGCCATCTCTCGGTGACGACGATAAAATACATTTTGAATCATGGACCACACGATGATATGTATAATATACGGTGAGTACCGGGTAATGGGTATCGTACAGGTTTACGGTATATACTTAAAGCGCTGTAGATGTCTGCGTCACGTCGTCGGTGGTTGGGTTTTTATTTATTTCTCTTTATATTGTATCCGAGGACTGAGAGAGTGATAGACGTAAATATCAAATAATGGAATTTGTGCACTAAAAGGTTAATGATGATACTTAATACACGAGCAATATTACTAGGTCCGAAAGTGTTGCACATAAATATGATTATCGCGTATTGTTTTATTCGGCGAGAGACATTTTAATCGGACGGACACACCGAGTATGACCGAGAGGGGACTGAGAAACTACTCCTACGTGTGTGGTATTATATATTATTGTATATACAGTGTATTAGTGTACCTATATTGCATGCACATGTGTACTTACATATAATAATGTAAATGCATTATTGTGATATGTGGCTATTAGCACGCGCGCCAAATTTAATTTCCATATTTACATAATGCATTACAATATAATATATTAAATCCTAGATCGTAAGATTTTCGTATAATATATTGTATTGTAAATTATAATGCATATACGAATCATTGTGCTGTCGTCGTAAATTCGTCCAGCGCAAAAAAAAAATAACAAAATAAATTAACGATTTTCGTTTTGGCCGAAACGCTTATTTTTTTTTCTAGATAAACTAGCGTTCTACTCGAGAGTTTAACATTACACACATATACCACATATTGTGTAGTACCAGCTATCTATATATAGAGAAACGTGTTCCACGTATATATTATACATATATATATATTTATACCCATACATCGGTTTATACACCGAAAACGCTAAAACCATCATGCGATGATCGTATGAGATGATAATACGTTAAATGGTAATATTTAATGTGTCTCGGTGTTTGTGTGTGTACGTAAGAAGCTCAGTATGCACACGTCATGTATTATATTTTATATAGTATCTACTGTCTGGGTGTTTTTCGTCTGTTGGAAAAATACT